GTGTTGTTGAGCTAAATTGCTACTTTGCTGCTGTTTCCTTAGGGAAGGCTTTTTGTGCAGCTCAGGGTTTAATGGTTGACCTTATAGGTACTTCCAGCTCTCCAGAAACCTGGTGCACCTAGGTTGTGTAGAAACTCTGATCTGGGCCTGAGTCTTTTCAGCAAACTGTACCCCATGCAATTCTGCATTCCCAACCAGTCTCCTCTGAGTGGTCTTGTGCTGGTTGGGGTGCAGATTGGCTGTCCTTGCTGTGTCCTGGTGTTCTCCTGGTGGGTCTATTTCACCCACCACCCATGCTGCAAACACTTCCCATGGGACCAGCTGTGTGCCAGTCACTTGCTGGCACCTGAATGGGTCACCGGCCTTTGAATGGCTCCCTTTTTTCAGCTGTTCTGGCTCCTTATTCCTGCATGGGTCCACAGGAACCCTATTAGTGGTCTTGCTGTCCTGGTGGCCACCAAGGCTCTCTTCTCCCCTGCCACCTCCAAGTAACGCCATCTGAAGGGCACATCTGTGGTTTTTACTGGCTCCTGCTCCATGCACTCAGCAGCTCTAGCCTTAAAGCAGCTGCAGCCTGAAATGCTCTGAGCAGTTTTTTGTTTCTCTCATTGTGGTTTCTCCTGCCTTTGTGAACTCTGTAGGTCTCTCCTCCTCTTCCCCTGAGCTCAAGCAGCCCCAGCCTGGCTGATGTTACATTTTTTTAGTTGTAAATTGGTTGATTTGTGGAGAGAGTGATGCTGGGGACTATCTATTCTGCCATCTTAACTGGAACCTCTGACCACATAACTCCTAACCCACTGTCAGCAGGGATCCCAAAATTTCTATCTCCAGGAAAGTACAGGACAACTCACAGATGCCATTCTCACCCAGCTCTTTCCTTGCCACCTCTTTCCATACAGAGTAACTGCAATTATCAGACTGGTATGCATCCTTGCAGACTTTTTTCCCATGTATTTATATAATATATGTGTGCCCATATAAAATACGTAAACATTGTTTTGTGGATTTTTGAACACAAAATGGTATAATATTGTACATATTACTCTGCTACTTTCTTTTTATTTAAAAGTATGTCTTAGAATTCTTCTTATGTATCTACAGATAAACCTCACTTGTAACTGTTGATTAATAGCATATAGAATACATGTAATTTATTTAGACATTCGACAATGAATAGACATTAGACTGTTTACAATTATCTTTGCTGGAGACCAGCTCTGCAGGATTCGTTGGACCTGAGTAGGTGGTGTGGCGTCGGCGAGGAAAGAAAGAGATGGACCACAGATGTCTAGTGCAAGTGTGGACAACAACCACAAAAATCTTGCTTTATTTATATGTTTTTACCTAATCTCTTACACATTGCTTTATTTTTTAATCAAAACTTTTTTAATTTTGTTTCTATTGAAAAAGAAAGGTCAAGACGTTCCAAGGCACTCATGCTGTGACAAAAACACCTACTCATGCATCAATAGTTTACCCCAAAGCCTGTGGCTCATGGCCAGGAAACTATACAATAGCAGCATGCTTGGCTTTAAAGAGCGTCAGACTTTTAGTTTAAACTATAATTCTTAACCTCTTAACTTACAATTTAACCCTTTTTAAATCTTACTTATACTTACTACTCTTAATTTTAATAACATTGATTAGTTAAGGTTAACAATTTAATATTGCTTATACCCTATATTGATCATTTTAATTTATAATCAAAATCACAATGTTTATACCTTCTATTTCCCTGCCAATAGACTCCGGGAACAGCACAGGGGACAAAGTGAAAAGTTAAATGATTCTATTCAAACTAACAAAAACACATTATATCATTCTTATTATTACTAAGGAAAGAACATGTTCTTGGTAAATCAAGTGAAACTGTGGGAGTGGGGAGAAACAAAGAAATCTGTAACTGGTTGATGATCAAATAATTGTAAACACCACAGCACTCGGACCCACCACCTCCCTGGGGGATGTGGATAGAAATCCAACATAATAACTTCATTCCACACGTACAAGAACATGACCACAGCCACAATGGGTCCATGCACACATCACTAACAAAAAAGATTAATAACAAAATTAAATTGAGCCAACTCATAGCGGGAACATGCATCAAAAACACCTTTAGTACCAACAATGCCCTTTAAATAAACCAGTTAATTTTGATGTATTTTAACATGCCTTTTGAGAAACTCCAGGGAATTTCCCAAAGCCATACTAAGCCAAAGGTTAGCTGTTTAATTATGGGAAGCCTTGTCAAGCAACCAAAGGTGTACAAACAAGAAATTCCACAGAGCGATGCCACACACGCGGGACCCTCTTGTAGCCTGCAGAATAACAGTATCACTCAGGCTCCCATGTCGTTCCCTATAGCAGGATGGCTCATGGCATATCTTCCTATTACAGTGTTTTAGTGAACATCTTGCAATATGTCTCTGTGTACATTTTCCAATCAGAGTTCAGTCAGAAAAACAGAAATCACATTAGTTATTTAAAGAGAAAGAATTTAATATGGGAAATTAATTCAAAGTGATTATAAAAGCAAAAAAGCAATACTGAGGTAACATAGAAAAATTAACTGCAGACAGCAGCTAATCTTTTGAGCTAGGAAGGAAAGAAAAAGGTTGAAGTAATCGGAACCTAGAAACTTGAAAGAGGGCCATGAAAGCTTAGCTCAGGCCTATGAAGAGAGGGTGATGCCTGGTCCTCTGGAGATCAAAGAAGGAATCTCATAGTGTTGGGGCTCAAATTGTTGGAGTGAGCAAACTGAAGCCATGTTAAGACCTAAAACTGCCTGGGCACGGAGGAGGGGGGGTGGATATGATTTTTAAAAGGACGGTTTTTTTCTCTACACTCTTTCTTCCCATCCCCTGTGTAAGGAAAGTAGAAAAGTTTAGTTAGGATCTCTCGCCTCACAGCGGTTACAGATGGGCAAGATTCAGCATATTCACTAGAAACAAGTTATAAAAGTAGTGAAACTGTGCATGTGTGGCCATTTACTGATTCAGCATGATTGCTGTAATTTGTAATGCTTGGCTTGTGGCCGCTATTGTGTATAGAGAATATAAAGGTAACTGCTCTGAACTGCTGGATGTCAGAGCATGGAGGGTAAACAGAGCTGGGAGAAACAGCAGAGTGTGGAGGGTCAGCAGAGTGGGGACAGAACTCATGTCTGAGGATAAAGCATATCTTTGAAGCTCATATCTGAAGAATAAAGTATGTCTACCTTGCATAAAGCTGCCAGTATCTTCCTTTGATTACCTGACTCATGACATGCTCAGGAAAGGGCAGAAGGATCAGAGATCTCAGCGCCATACCTTGACTTTCTTATCTTGCTTGCTAAGTAGGAAAATAGGCTGAAAAGCTAATTAGTACTTTGCAAAGCTAACAGTCCTTTCTTTGAGACTTGTAAAACTTGAGAAATGATCAAGGCCAAATGACTGGAAGCTGACCTTGGGCACCAGCCAAGTACACAAGTGCAAACCAAAATCTTGCAGGGTCCTGAAATAGCAGCTAAGATGAGAACAGAAACCAGACGAGGCCTTGGTGAGACCTTGTACCTGACCCATAGAAATGGTTCCCTCATAACTCACATCTCCTTCTCTCCTGTTTTTCATCTCCCACATTCCATTCTCTCAACTGTTCCTTAAAAACCCCCTCAGGAAATATAAATCTTTGAGATGGAATAGCCTACATCTCCTTCAGCTGAGTACCTCTGCTTTTCTAACACCAACCATTTGACTTCTGAGTTTTTTTGTTTTTTTTTTTTTCCTTCTCAAGGGGCAGGCAGCCAGCCCTGAGTCCAATAACAAAACTTCTGAGGAGGGGGCACAACTGGCTATCTTAGAAGCTCGGGGCAGGGGCTCCATGGAGGCTAGGATTCAGAACTCTGAGGAGATAAACTTAGGTTGGTGCCTGGATACTGCTGGTACCTTAGAGTAGTGCAATTAGGCTGATTCTGTGACGGTTGGAAAAAAGATGGAGACTAAAATCAATTGCTGGCTAAGGTAATTGCTGTTGCTACAGTAAAGGGCTGCTGTGGAGGTGATGCTAACAGAATGGAGTAAGTCCTTTCGCCTTCCTCTTGCCTTCAGTCACCTTTTAGTGCCCTTTGTTGATGGAACCTAACAGGAAGCCAGCTGAATAAAGGTGAAACAGTTTGCGGACTCCCCAGTATCATGGAGTTGAGTATAAAAGGGTGAGTGCATGGACATGAGAGACAATGCCCAGGAACACATGTGCCTATGTTTCTCCCTTTCTTTTTATTTGGCGACTGGTTGGTATGGGGAAAGGAACCCCCTTGGGCTCGTTATTACAAGACTGAGCATTAACCATCTGAGCTAACCAGTCAGTCCTATTCCTGTAGTGTGATTCTAAGAAGCAAATTCACTAAGTTACAGGGTCTATACTTCAAACTTTAATAGAGAACACCACATTACTACCTTTTCTAGAAACTGCACATAACACTTTAGATATGCAAAGGGGGGGGGCTTAGAATATTGCCTAGAACAGTACAATTTAAGAAGAATGAGAATCTTGTTAAAATGCAGAATCTGATTCACTACTTGCGAGGTGGGTCTAAGAGTCTGCCTTTTTAACGCCCAGGTGATGGTGATAATCGCATCCCTTTAAAAGTATAACACTGTTCCACCTTCCCATAGCCACTACCATATCATTTTACTGCTGCTCTTGTGTGACCCTGCCTTTCTCATGGCTCATGCCAACTTCATACTCGTTAGCAGGGAAGAAATCTAGCTTCTGAAAGCCCCAAGACAGGATTTAGCGCCACGAGTCCAACGCTTGGCTTCCTATTGGCTGTGAATGACGTAATTAAGACAGGCGTGGCCTTTTTGGTGACGTCTCCGGCGGCGTATGGTCAGGGAGGTAGCGGGAGGAGGTAGCGGAAGTGGGGCGGAAGGAGGGTGGGGTGGGTGGCGGAAGGGGAGGACCCGGGGAGGTTGTGACAATGAACCCTCTTCCGGAGCGAGGGGCCGGAAGTTGTGGCCACGCCGTGTCAACCTGGGAGTTGCGGGCTGAGAGTGCGGCGGCGACCGCGACCATGGGCGGCAAGAACAAGCAGCGGACCAAGGGTAACCTGCGGGTGAGTGCAGAGTGGTTGGCCGACCGCGGAGTCCTCGCCCCACAGCCGCTGACTCCGCAGCCGCGCGCGGCCTGAGGGTCTGTGGAGCGCGGCTGCCGGGAGGCGTGTGTTTGCGTGTCGAGTGTGACCTCTCTGTTATGTATGCGTCCCCGAGGGCGGGGTGGGTTATCTCTGAGCAGATGGGGGAATTGTGAGAGGAAAGATGTTCCATGCCAAAACTGTCCCCACCCGAGCACACACCCACAATTTTTATGAAGTAGTTCAGTGTCAGCTTCAGCTGGAAGGTTACCTGGCCGAGGTAGCGAGGAAGCGGGGGTTGGCATTGGGAACAAGGGGAGCTGGGTAGGAGATAGTTAAAGTGAGTCTGTGTGCAGGGTACCTCTGATTATGTCCCTTCTTTGCTCAAAAATCTACGGTGACTCCACACATCAGTCGGAGTAAAGGCCAAAGCCGTTACGATGGTATTCATGGTCTGCCTGTCGCCCCTTTCCACCTCCGGCCGCCTCTTCAACTCCTTCCTCTCTCACTCCATCCAACTGCACTGACCTCCTCACCATGCCTTGACCTTGTCTGACAGGCTCCCAACGCTCTTCTGTTAGGTGGCTCCAAATTTTGCTCTAGACGCCTCCGTGAAGTCTCCCTTGATTTCCCTGTTTGAAATTATAGCCCTCCCCCGCTCCCTGTTCTCTTTCCTGCTTTATATTGCATCATTGCCTTTATGGCTATGTAGTGTACTGTCTTGCTTCACTAGGATGTAAATATTTTGGAGGCATTTGTTTTAATCTGCTGCTGTTATCTTCGGAGCCTAGAACAGGGACTGACATATAGTAGAAGCTCACTGAGTACTTGTTTGAAGAAGACCCTAAAGTGTAAACCGACACGATTAGGGATGCTATAATGGTATGTTTTATGGTACTAGGTTTGAAAGTACTCAGAAAGGTGCAGTCCAATTTTATGAGAATGCTTTTCTTTCTGTTTCTGATCCAGTTAATTCTAGTGATTTCAGTACCACACTTTCTTAGATCTTGCACTTAATCAGTTTTGGAAAATTATATCAACAATTATGGTAACTTAATTATGTGTTAAGTACTATGCTAAGCACTTTACTTGCATTCTCACTTAATGTTTTATTTAATTCTTTTTCAACTTTTTTTGGGAAGAATTCCTAATATAGGGAAAAGTTACAAGACTATCAGAGTGACAATTCATATATTCTTTACGTAGATCTGCCAATTGTTAACATTTGGTCGTATTTGTTTTCTTTCTTAATTTCCGTTTTTTTTTTTTTTTTTTTAAGATGACTAGTAAGGGGATCTTAACCCTTGACTTGGTGTTGTCAGCACCATGCTCACCCAATGAGCTAACTGTCCATCCCTATATGGGATCCGAATCCATGGCCTTGGTGTTATCAGCACCACGGTCTCCCAAGTGAGCCACAGGCCATTGTATTTTGCTGAACTGTATGTGAGTTAGTTGTGGACATCCGGACTCTTAACTTCTAAACACTTCAGCATGTATCCTGTAAAAACAATGCCATTCTTTTTTCTTAACCCATGAGCAATTATAACATGGGGAAGCTTAAACTATGGTGTAATTCTATAATGTTCTCTGTAACTTTTTTTTATCTTTTTAGATACACCATTAAAAAAAAAATTCAAGATCTAATCAAGGATCACTCATTCCATTTAGTTACCATTTAGACTCCTTTAATATGAACAGTTTCACAGTGCTTTCAGGGGGGGGTGGGGTGGAGAGGGGTGTCTTTTAGGACAGACAATTTGGAAAAGTCTGGGCCAATTGTTTGGCTTAATTTAGATTTGTCTAATTGTTTCCTTATGATTAAACCATCAGGTTAAACAATTTTTAGCAGGAATGCTTCATGGATGATGGCTCTTTTTCAGTGTACACAACAGATGCACATGATACCCTTGTTTGTCCCATAATTGGTGTATTTATTTAATTACTTGGTTAAGTGGTATCCATTGTATACTTATCTTTTTCCATTGGCTGATAACAATATGTGGAGTGGTAGGTTGAGACTGAATAGCCTATTCTCCCATAAACTTTCACCTAATGGTTTTTGTACCCTTTAGTAATTCTTGCTGGAATCAGTTATTACTATGGTGGTTTAAAAACGTATGTTTAATCTTGACAACAACCTAAGTAATGAGTTCGATTCTCTCACCTCATTTTAAAGATGATAGAACTGAAGTTTAGGGAAATTAACTTACCTAAACTCATGTAGCCACAATGTTGCAGAGTTGGGATTTGAACTTCAGAGTTGCAGTCATTCATTTAACAGACTGAATACTGGATGCTGTGTATTCAAAGGTGATAGACAAATGTCTGCTGTTGTGAACTATTAGTTTGATATATAGACGGATAAGCAAGCAAATATAATATATTAAAGAATTATGATACAGGTGTGAACAGAAAGAACATGTGAGAACAGAAGAGAATGGCTGTTAACCTGAGGGAGGTAAGTGATGCAAGCATGAGTGTTTTGAAGGATGAATAGGAGTTTGCAGGCAATAAAGAGAGAGGAAGGGTTTTCAGGCAGAGGGAAAAGATTATACAAAGTTCAAATTGTTAAAGGGCATAACATATTCAGGGAGTCTTTGGGACTGGAACATGAGTGATGACAGCATAATTGGGAGAGGGAAGGGAGAGATGGGCAAGGGAAGGAAAGAGTGGCAGGAGATAAGATGGAAAAGTTGAGGACAGATAGTGAAAGATCTTGGAAGTCTTCCTTAGTTTGGTCTTTAAACTGTAAATCCAGTATTGCCACGTCAAATACCTCTAGAAGGTTTGTTACAAAAGAATGTAGACAGAAGTAGGTATAGTATAAGAAAAATTAACAGCTGGAAGTAGAGTCAGGGTTTTTAATTTCTATTGAACTATGTGTATAAGTATCTAACATTCAAAGATCGTAACAGTAACTATGTTTTAAATTTAAAGTAGACATTGAAGGGCTGGCCTGTGGCTCACTCAGGAGAGTGCGGTGTTGATAACACCAAGGCCCTGGGTTCGGATCCCATATAGGGATGGCCGGTTAGCTCACTGGGTGAGCATGGTGCTGACAACACCAAGTCAGGGGTTAAGATCCCCTTACTGGTCATCTTTTAAAAAAAAAGAAAAGTAGACATTGAATAAAAGATACAATTACTACATTTAAAAATAAATGTCATAAAATGTAGTAAAAATAGATGTAGTGACTTTTATTTTATTTTATTTTACTTATTTATTTTTTTTTAAAAAGATGACCGGTAAGGGGATTTCAACCCTTGGCTTGGTGTTGTCAGCACCACGCTCAGCCAGTGAGCAAACCGGCCATCCCTATATAGGATCTGAACCCGTGGCCTTGGTGTTATCAGCACAGCACTCTACCAAGTGAGCCACGGGCCAGCCTGATGTAGTGACTTTTAAATTGAACAATAGAAATCTGCTACCTTTTCTTCTGCCCCTAGTTATCACGGTCAGCTCTGGTATTTCAGGTTAGTTTGGAATTCAGCCTTGACTTCTTTTGCTTTTAGCAATAATTAGTTTTTAAGTTTGTTTCATAATAAAACTGTTTACAAATGAGATTATACATAAAATTCTGATATCCTCATGTCATCATATTTAGTTTCAGAGTTGTATACCAATTCAGTAACTTTCTTTGTAGCTCTTTATTCATGTGCCAATATTGAGAAAGGCAAACTGAATAGTGTTATTTCATTTTAATAAAGTTTTAAAACAGGACTTTTTTCGTATAATTCAGGACATCATTTTCATTTCTGGTCACTCAGTTCAGTTTATAAAGTAGGCCAGATTATTCCTTATCAAATGAATTTTCCAAACAAGCTTCCCTTTTCCTAGATATGAGCAATTTGAATCATGTGTTCAGATAACCCTTTGTAAACATCATTGCAGAGAAATAAGAAATAGATAAGTTTAGGTGGGTTGTAATGTTATCTTGGTGGTCAAACTGAGGCATTTTCTCCTTATATAAGGGTTCTTCAAAAAGTTTGTGGAAAAATAGAATTATAAGATAATACAGATCCTTCTGTGAACTTTTTGAAGTATCCTCATATAACAGTGAGTAAGTTAATTCTTTCAACAGTTCAAATATTTTGTTTCTCTGTAACAACCCCCTGACTTGCGTATCATCAAACAAATGACTATGGTTCAAAGCAAAGGAGTATATCTTATATCTTGACCATTCTATTGATTTTTATGTTCATAATAAAATAATTTTAGCCCAAAGAGGTTAGGCTAGGCTGTAGATATATGGAAATGAGTGTATCTGCCCTCAAGGAATTCCCAGTCTAGAAGCACTAGATGTGTCCTGTGGTGATTGCTTAATAAATATTTGTTGAGTGAATGGATGAATGAAAAGATGGGATCCATTTATGAGTTAATTTTACATCGTTACACAGTACACATACATGTATAAGCATACTATTTATATAAAAGTTGGAAATAAAACAATTCATAAAATAGTATTTATGAAAATCTTACCACATGATACATTCTGATTTTTAAAATTTTATTCCATTTATTTAAAATTCTGTTCTTTTTGTCCTAATGTTTAGGAAACCAGGAAGTAGCTTCTAGGATTATTAATGATAGGTTCTTGGTGACAGAAACATTCATCTTTGGGGAACATTACAATAGATGAAATTTTAGGCTAGGGGAAAAAAAAGTACTAAAATAAAAGCTTGTTTTGACCATAGGAATCGTCAAGGAATTATAAAGTTAAATTTTGAACTCTTCCTGGACTCTGACTTTTTTTTCCCCTACTTAACAGCCTTCAAACAGTGGCCGAGCCGCAGAACTCCTTGCCAAAGAACAGGGAACGGTTCCTGGATTTATTGGTTTTGGAACATCTCAGAGTGACCTAGGCTATGTTCCTGCTATTCAAGGTGCTGAAGAAATCGACAGTCTTGTAGATTCTGATTTCCGAATGGTGCTGCGGAAACTTTCTAAGAAAGACGTCACAACAAAATTAAAAGCAAGTTTTCTTGTTTTCATAAAATTGATCAAGAAAATCCTTTTGTAAAGAAAATGAACGATAGTTTATTACTAATAAGTTCTTTTACAATTGTGCTTTTTTTTTTTGATACGTGGACTTAAGCTTAGTTGACACTTTTGGGTAATGAATTGTTGCTCTGAACTTTTTTGAACCACTTTGCAATTTTGACTGTAGTTTTTCCCATTAGGGAATGTAATTTTGACCCTATAATTTTAAATGGGGTTTTTTGTTTGTATACATTTTATTTCTTAAAAAACAACTAAAAAGTTTCTATCATAGGAGCTGGTGAAGGAAATGTTCAGATTCATTCCATATGGCACAAACAGAAATAATGTATCCTCTCATTATATAAAGTAGATTAAGCTTTCAGAATAGAGTGCACATAATCAATAGCCAATATGTGGCTATTAATTACTTAATAATGTTAATAATTTATTTTTAGGCTATGCAGGAATTTGGAGCCATGTGTACAGAGAGAGACACAGAAATCGTAAAAGGAGTTCTTCCATATTGGCCAAGAATTTTCTGCAAAATTTCACTTGTAAGTATTAAATATTTACTAGTTCAAGTATTAAGTATTTACTAGTTTATTTCTAGTGTATTTTTTGGTTGAAGTCATAGGGATTGTTAAATTTGTATGATTCATTTTTTGTGAGGTTTATGAAATGTTATGTGAGCATTGTTATGCAGATTGGATTATGTTGGGATGTACAGAGTGTATAGGGAGTCTGTGTTTTTGGCAAATTAGGTCATTATTAGAGAATTACCCAGATACTTTCCAGTTGTAATAAATTTTGGCAGTTATTTTATTCTCTTGTATATATGCTGCAGAAGAATGAGAATGAATCGCTTAATTATTCAAGGCCCAGCCTTGAATCTATCTTGAATAAAATCTTATCTCATTGGGAGGGGAGGGAAAAGGAAAAACTAACTATTTCACATAATTTCTGATGTGAAAAAAACTCCAAATTCTTGATATTTGGAAAAAAAATTGTAGTTCTGTGTGTAGGTGAATTCTTACTAATGGGTCATTATAGCATATCCAGAAATGTCTGTATTTGTTTTTATGGGTTAGAAATATTTTAAACTACATTGATATTTTCCATAGGATCATGACCGCCGGGTTCGAGAGGCCACACAGCAAGCTTTTGAAAAACTTATCCTTAAAGTAAAGAAACACTTGGCTCCCTATTTAAAAAGTTTAATGGGATATTGGCTAATGGCTCAGTGTGATACTTATACACCAGCTGCATTTGCAGCAAAAGATGCATTTGAAGCAGCTTTCCCTCCGAGCAAACAACCTGAAGCCATAGCATTTTGTAAGGATGAAATTATAAGTGTAAGTTCTTGGAACCATTCTGAATTTATTTTTTTCTTAAGTATTAAGAGATAGAAGGCATATTATAATGACATCTTTTTTACCTGGCATTGTAGAGGAATGAGAATGTGAAATATTTCCAACAGAGGGTTGCCTTTTTAAAATGTTGTTTAATAAAATTGGTCATTTTGTATTTTTAACAAAATTAACATTTTGGATTGATCTTTCTACAGTGTTTAAATTTTCCATGTTTAATTTATAAATCAACATTTTTAGATAATATGATAAATATATGCTTTATAATAAGTAATTTAAACAGAATATATCTAAAAATAAATTTAAAATTATTTTCCCTCATATTTCCATATCAGTACATGTATACAGATCTATTTCATTCTTCTTGTTGGTTCTCCAGGATTACTTTATATGGATGTACAATAGTTTATCTAACTCCTTTAAAATTAATGTACATTGAATTTTTTCAATTTTTTATTATAACAAATGCTGCTTCAATGATCTTTTTAGTTTATAAAGAAAGAAAATGTATTTCTTGTCAATGATCATTCTTGAATAGATCTCCTCATACCCTTGTGGCAGTGATAGTAACCACATGTTGGGTCAAAGAATAAAAACATTTATAATTTTTTTTTTTAAAAGATGACCGGTAAAGGGAACTTAACCCTTGACTTGGTGTTGTCACACTCTTCCAAGTGAGCTAACCGGCCTACCTATACAGGGATCCGAACCTGTGGCCTTGGTGTTATCAGCACCACACTCTCTCAAGTGAGCCACAGGCCGGCCCTATAATTTTTTTTTTTTTTTTTTTGCAACCCCATTCCCATTTTTTATTTTATCATCTGAAACATTTTAATTGTTTAACAGTTCTTAAGGATGTTATACTTTGTTCTGTTGCATCCCTAAACATTAATCTCACATAGTTTTTCTGTATCAGTCCTTCACTTTTCTTTTCTTATCCCATCTAGTACACTGTAAAATTTTAATAGATACTGATAAATTGCCTTCAAAAGGCCACACAAACTTATACTCCCATTAATAGATATGAAAGTTTCTCTGCACTTGGCCAGACCAATATCAGCCATAACTTTTTGTGGTATTCAGTGTCTCTGTCTCTAATAGTGTCTCATTTCTTCCCTTGTTATTTGCTATTGTTAATATATCAATTGGAAAAACCAGACAATAAAGTTAATTAGAATTATGTCAAGAATTAAAAAAGATGAACTGGAAGTGGCACGGGAGGAATTGAGGATTTTAAAAAAATTAATGCTTGCAGAATGCAGCAGAGTAGAGCACAATGTGTGTTCTTCTCTGTAGGCAGGGAGGCTCTCAAAAAGAGGGGAGAAGAAAGCAGAGCCTAATTTCTCTCTCAAATTTAGTAATTGATTATTCCACTTCACTGTTGTGTGTAAGAAAAATGTAGAAATAAGTGGTCAGAAGTATTTAGAAGAAAATTTCTCTTGATGGAAACTACAGGTGTGGGGAAGAAGTACCCTATCCTTACCCCAACAGAAGCCAACCTTGGGGATTGATAGGAAAAGAAAAACGGGTAAAATTCAAAACTTTTAGTTTTGCTCCTTGTTTTTGCTATTAGATTAGATGAGATTTATAGGGATTTTTACAAAATGGATTTTACTTAACTATGCTGTATCTTTTCATCACTGACAGTTCAATAAATTCTCAAGGCTTTGGTATTTTTCTCCCACTGTAGGTGCTGCAGGATCATCTTATAAAAGAAACACCTGATACACTCAGTGACCCACAGTAAGTTGTATTGTTTCTATATAACTCATATTAAGGATTTGTTTTACTCATAGGTAATCAGTTGATAATTTCAATGTGACATATTTTAAAAAGAAGGCATTTAAATATGGAGATGCGTATGCCAGCTGGTGTATTAAGCGCTTTTATTTGGAAGTTGTCTTGCTGTTTAACTTGAATTATCTGGGAGCTACACATTTGATTCTACTAGAAAGAAGTGTTTTTAGATTTTTCTCCCATTTACCTTTGACATAGCAGGAACTATTTTAAGGTCTGATTGAAAATAGTTGGAGAACTATAAATAGTTTTATTTAAAGAGTAGTGAGATGTTTTATTTACTTTTACTCCTTTGTTGTAATCCAACTGTTAAGAGTTTATAAGTGAAAATAATCTTAGATGCCTTGATATTCATTTCCTAGAATCATTCTAGTATGTGATACTGAGAGCTGTAAACTTGCTCACTTAATTTAAGCCATAGTTTTCGTCTACTTTCATCTTGCGTTAGTATATGTCATTAAAGTTGTGTGTGTTTGCATTTTGAAGGGGATTGGCAGAGGGGAAGTAGAAGATAGAAATAAAGCAACTTTGGTAGATAATTTAATGATAAAACACTTAAAATAGAAGTGCTAAGTATGTGGTTTGTCTTATTTTGAATCCTTTTATATATTTATTTTCTTTTCACTTCAAGAACTGTTCCAGAGGAAGAAAGAGAAGCCAAATTCTATCGAGTTGTAACTTGTTCTTTATTGGCATTAAAGAAATTGCTTTGCCTCTTACCTGATAGTGAGCTCGATTCTTTGGAGGAGAAATTTAAGTCTCTTTTATCACAGAATAAGTTTTGGAAGTATGGAAAACACAATGTACCACAGGTATCTTAATCTTTTTTATTACAAGACATTTCTCTGATTCCCCCCCCATCCTGTTAATTTATGTTTTATGTTTATGGTTTATATTTAAAACTCTACAAGCACATCTTTGTGGTAGATCATTCAGGACTTAACCTCTCTTACTATAATGTTATTCTGTTTTCACTTTTTTATTTAGTTTGGGCTTTAGGCTCAGAGTTGAATTATCATATTCCTCTGCTGATAGCACCATAAAACTGTTGGTATATGTAAGGCTGTTCTCTTTTAATGTATTTATTTTTTCTTCTTTGTTCCTCTCTCCCTCTTGATTTGCTGCCTCTACCAGCTGACCATTCTGATGTGTTTAATGTATGTCCTTTTATCTGTACAGTTAATTCTTATTATTCATAGCAGTTATGTTTTATAAAGTCACCATGAATACCTAATAAGTAAATGCCGAGGTGTTGCTCCTAGGGGATATACAGAGTTAGGTTCCTATGAGCCTCTCGTCACAACATGTTTGTCAGTTGATCAATACATAACCTTTTTTTATGTGTTTAAAGACACAATATTTAATATATATTACTGATTCATTACCATTGAACTCATGGCCAACAGCACTAGAACTCACACCTGAATGAAGCTCGTGTAATACATGTATTTTCACATCACAGACTTCTTGTGCCTTAGACACAATAGACAGCACTTCAACACTACTATTGGCGGCCATTTAAAACTAAATCACCGGGCCGGCCCGTTGGCGCACTCGGGAGAGTGCGGCGCTGGGAGCGCAGCGATGCTCCCGCCGCGGGTTTGGATCCTATATAGGAATGGCCGGTGCGCTCACTGGCTGAGCACGGTGCTGGCGACACTGCACCAAGGGTTGCAATCCCCTTACCAGTCACGAAAAAGACAAAAAAAACCCCCCAAAAAACTAAATCACCAACCAAAAGCACAAGAATTCTAAAAATGTGCTAAATAGACTGAAGGGAATACTTGTAAACAGTATGAGAACTGAGACAAGAAAGCAGAGTGTCACCTTGTTTGACCTCAGCTGGGAATGTGCATATTAACAACTCATCACCACTCTGCATGTCTGAATGGCCACAAAAGCACTGCAAGTTTTGATTTTGGGGTTACAAATATGGAATCTGCAAATAATGAGGATTGACTGTGTTTTTGAAACATAAATGATATTGTATTATATTTCATTCTATTTATACTTTTTATTTAGTACTTTCTTAAAAAAGATCTATCATGTTCCTGTATGTATGTCTGATACACGTGTTCCAACTGCTGGGTAGTGTGAAGGTACTTCAAAAAGTTCGTGGAAAAAAAGATAATATGGATCTTACAATGATTTTACAATGAAGATGTAGCAGTTAACATCTTCATTCATGTGTCTGCAAGAAATTCTTTGAATTTCTCAATTGCTAAGTCATAGAGTATGTGCATACCTACTTTTTCAGTTCTGAAATAGTGCCACATTTGCTCAACTGAATGGCCACCTTACTGTAGGCTCAACCATCATCAGTGCATGGTGAATCCTATCACCTTATATTCTAGCCAGCAGTAGGCAGCATTCAGGTTCTTAATTTTTCATCAGTCTGATAGGAGTTCAAATTATACCTCTTTAACTTGAATTACTCTGCTTACTAGTGATTTTTATCATGTCTTCATAAGCTTCTTAGTTTTTATGTTTCTTTTTCTGTAAATTACTTGTTCATCTTTTTTAGGACTTCTTGTGTTATTCTATTTTTTTTTTTTTTTTTGGAACTGGCCTATATGGAGATCTGAACCCCTTACCTTGGTGTTATAGCACTGTGTTTTAACCAACTGGGCTAACTGGCCAGCCCTCTTGTGTATTCTAAATATTAGTCCTTTTGTTGTTTTTAGGCATTGCAAAAGATTCCATTCTGTCACCTCTTCCATATGTCATTAGAAAGAAATCTTAATTTTGATGTGAAGTCAATGATTTTGCCTTGTGAAAGCCTTTCCCACTTTTAAGTCATAAGGATATTCTTATATTTAAAAATTTTAATAGTCATATCTTTTAAATATAGTTTTACATTTCATATGAAATCCTTAATCCATCCATCAATAATTAACTGTTTTATGTAGTGTTAAGTAAAAATCTTGTTACATTTTTCTTCCTGTATGGTGAACCAGTTTTCCTAACATTACCTAGTAAACTGTTCATTTTTTCCCTGTTTATTTGCGGACCTGCCATTATGGTACATTAGATTCCCAAATATTCATAAGTTTGTCTCTAAATTCTGTCTCTTATGCCAATACCATATTAATATGACATTGTGGTATGTCCTAATATCTGCTCAGGTGAGTCACCCTTTTTTAGTTGTCTTCTTCAAGATCGACTAAGTTGTTTTGAGACTTTATTCTTCCATATAAGTTTTAGTAAATTTATTGAATTTCTCAAAAAAATCGAATTGAGATTTTAATCGGGGTTGTATGGAATTTATAGAATGACTTGGGGAGAATTGCTGTCTTTATGTTATTGAGTCTTACTGTTTATTAGCCTGTCATAACTCCCAATTTATTCAGGTATTGAAAAATACCCTACACAATTTTAAGTCACCTTTATTGAGGTATGATTAACACACAATAAAATGCAGCTATTTTAGGTGTACAGTTTGTTAAATTTTGACAGATGTATATACCTATCTACATGTGTACATACCCATATAACCATTACAATCAAGAAATAGAAAACTTTTTCATCCAAAATGGGTTCTTCATGTTCCTTCTAGTCATCCTCTCCCTTTATCCCAGGCAGTCATTTGTCTGCTTTCTGTTACTACAGATTAGAATTGTCTCTTCCACAGTTTTCGTATAAATGGAGCTGTTCATTACTCTGTATCTGGCTTCTTTTACTCAGCATAATTTTTAAAGATTCACTCATATTGTTGATGTATCTGTAGTCCATTTCTTTTTATTGCTTAGTTTTATAATCTTTGTCTGGACATATGTATCTGTAGTCCATTTCTTTTTATTGCTTAGTTTTATAGTCTTTGGACATATTTTTCTTGGGTAAGGAAAGGAATAGATATATCATATTGTAAGTATCAGCAGATATTTAGCTTGGTTAGACTCATATCATGCCATGCCTGTGATAGGCAACAGCTCAGCTCTCAGTTCAGTTCTTGTAAGTTTTAGCCTTAAGCTGCTTTCAGTTTATTGGGCACGTGCATGGTTCAGAGATCAGCTGTATATTTAGGCTGTTAAAAACGTAGAATATGGGGTTCCCTTCACTGTCTCTCTCTTTTCTAGAGTTTTCCCTCATTCTCCTGCAATCTTGATTACCTGGGCTCCTTTTCCTGGTTCTTCTAGTTCTTCCAACCACAAAGATGTCAGTCTTTCTATTGGAGTTGTAGGCCCAGTGTCTCTGTACTGGTCACTGCAGCCACCTTCAGGGCAAAGCTGCAAAAAATAGGAACTCAGTCTGTGTGGATTTCTTACTCCCAGTCTTCATTCTCCTCTCAAATGTGCCTGTATTTCAGTCTCTAGAGACTTTAAGTAGTAGTTTTGTGTTTTGTCCACAGAGCCTATAGCTGTTCTTTTAGGAGGAGGATTGATTTATCAGGCTCTCCATATATTCTTTTGCCCATTTTTAAATTGCATTTTTGGTTTTTATTTTTAAGTTGTGAGTGTGCTGTATTTATTCTGAACTGAAGTATTTTGTCAAATAAAAGTATCATGAATGATTTCTTCTAGTCTGTGGCTGGCCTTTTCCTTTTGTTAATGGTTTTTGAAGAATATATGTTTTAATTTGATGAAGTTTAATTTATTTTTTTTCTTTTATGGCTTGTGCTTTTGATGTCATATCAAAGCAATTGTTCCCTACTTCAGGGTCACAGAGGTTTTCTGTATTCTAGAAGTTTTATAGTTTAGGTCTGTGTGGTGCATTTAATTTTTGTGTGTAGGGTGAAAGTGAGAATCAAAGTTAATTTTTTGACATATAGGTATCCATTTGTTGAAAGACTATCCCGTCCTCACTCTGTCAAAATTGTCGAAATTCAGTTGATTATTTATGTGGGATTTTAATATTGGACTCTTTATTTCATTAATCTTTATGTCTGTCCTTACACTAATACCTCATTCTTCTTTTATTTTTAAATAATTTTGATAGTTTATTTTACTTAACATGCTCTGTCCAAAGTTTTTTTTTTTTTGTTCCTGGCTGGTATGGGGATCCAAACCCTTAATGCTGGTGTTATAACACTATACTTTCCCCAAGTGAGCTAACCAGCCAGCCCCACACTCTTGGTTGTTACTGTTTTACATTAAGTGTTGAAAATTTCCAACTTTGTTCTTTTTCAAAATTCTTTTGGGTCATTGCATCCTAGAATAATGTTTTATAATATTCACTCCAATGAACATGTCTTTATGGTTTTTGTTGCTATTGTGAAGTGGGGTTATTTTTAATTAAATTTTTTTATTTGGTTTCTACAGGTGTATAGGAGTGCTGTGCTTTTGTATGTTAATTTTGTATCCAGCAACTCTTCAAAATTCTTGTTAGTTCTTCTAGTTTGTCTTTAGATCATTTTGAATATTTTTCCTAACTAGTTATATTGCTGTAATTATAAAGAGTTATTTAGGTTCCTTTCCAGTTTTTTGCCCTTGTTTCTTTGTATTGATTAGGTCTCCCAATACCCTGTCAAGTAGAAGTGGTGATAGCAGGCATCCTTTTCTTGTTCATGACTTTAATGAAAATAGTTCTAGATTTTCAATGATAAATATGATGTTTGCTATAGATTTCGTAAGGTTCGGAAATTTCTTTTTATTCTTAATTTTGCTGAGTATTTCTATCATGAATGAATTTTGAAATTTTCTTGATTATGATTTTTGATATGTTTATATGGTCATATGGTTTTCCAGCCTAGCTTTCAAGAGACAAACTTTTTAAAGTTTGCTGTGTTTTTAAATGTCACGTCTTTTTAAATACTCTGCAGACTTTGATTTTGCAGTATTTTTAATAAAATGTACATACTTGTCATACTTGTCAGTAGAATATTTCGTGGGGTCAAATATATGTATGTGTATTTTTTAATTTCACAGTATATTATTATTATTTTATACTCTCAGTCTTTATTTAGATTGCCTGCATATTTGTTGCTTTGTATCTGAAGATGATTTTATTTCACCCTCATTCTTTAAAGATATTTTTGCTTAGTACAGGATTGCATGTTAGCAGTTATTTTGTGTTCAAGATATTATTTCACTGTCTTCTGATTTAAATTGTTGCTAAGTCAGCTATTAGTTTTACTGTCCTTCTTTTGAAGGTTGTTTGTCTCTGGCTACTTTTAAGATTTTCTGTTTGTGTTTTTGTAGTTGTACTGCAATCTGTCTTGGTGTGGTTTTTCTTTTATGTAGCCTGCTTGGGATTTTTGGGCTTCTTGAATCTGTGGATTGGTGTATTACATTGGCTTTGCAAAATTCCCAGCTATTATCTGTTCACATGTTTTCTTTGCCACATTTTCTCTTTTCTCTCTCTTTAGGATTCTGTTTAAATATATGCTACACCTCATTCTATACTCTCTGTCTCTTATGCTGTCTTAGATATTTTTTTTATCTTTTGTCTTTCCATACTGCTTTGTGGATTATTATTATTTTTTTATTCTATCTTCCAGTTCACTGTTTCTCTCTTTATTTGTATCTAATCTGTTTGTTTTGTCCATTCAGGTTGCTATAACAAAATATCTTACACTGGGTAATTTATTTATTTCTCACAGCTCTAGAGGCTGGGAAGTCCAAGATCAAGGTGCCAGCAGATTTCAGTGTCTGGTGAGGGCTGCTCTCTCTGCTTCAAAGGTGCTTGCTGCTTTCTCACACGGCAGAGGGAGTCTAAGGGGCAAACTTGTTCCCTCAAGGCCTTTTATAAGGGCACGAATACCATTGATGAGGGTGGTGCCCTCATGACCCTATCACCTCCCAAAAGCCCCACCTCTTAATACTCTCACATTGGCAATTAATTTTCAATATATAAATTTGGGGGGGGGGCACATTCAGATCATAGCACTGCTCTTGAACTGCGAATTGAGCTTTAAATTTTAGTTAATTTATTTTTAGTTTAGGAATTGTGCTTGTTTCTTTTTCAAATCGACTTTTTTCTAGGATCCCTGTTTCTGTAAATTTGTTTAAACTTTTGTTTCTTTAAATATATAAGCATTGTTATGGAGTTTTTGACTAATAATTCTAAGATTTAAAGTCTCAGATTTCTGTGCTGTCTTTTTTTTCTTTTTTTTTTTTTGCTGATATGGCTCTTGGTTTGTCTTATGTTTTATTTGTGTGGCTGTAATGGAGGCCTCATATGAAGGCTTCTGCCACTAAAGAGGATTTGTGTTTGCTTCAGCCAAAGAGAGAGAAAGTTGAATTAAGTCTTTCTGCCTTCACTTTTGCCTTTGTAATTTCTAATGTCTTTTCAGCCATTTTATACTTTTAAGAAGATTTTTAAAAGTGTTTTTTGAAAGTCTTTTAGTTTTATAAGTCGGAAGGGTTAGTGTGAATAATCTATCTGCCATTACCGTAAATAAAAAAATCTTATCAAGTTCTACTAGGTTTTAATTTAATTCAGCTTTCCATTTCTTCTTTAGATCCGCTCAGCTTATTTTGAGTTGGTTTCTGCTTTATGCCAGCGCATTCCACAGTTGATGAAGGAGGAAGCATCCAAAGTGAGCCCGTCGGTTCTTCTTAGCATTGGTGACAGTGACCCCGTTGTCTGCCCAGCTCTCTGGGAAGCTGTACTCTATACGGTTACAACTATTGAGGTACGTACGGGAGGCATGTTTAGTATGTTGGGGAATACTTTTCTTTCTAATTGTATTTTAGAATCTTTAGATACCGTATAAGAGAGAATCTGTCAGATAATACCTAAAACTTACTGGGAAAATGTTTTCTTGGAAATAAAATACTTAATTCAAATTTTGTATAAATTTTAAACTGACTGTAAAATGTTATAGAGTTTTTAATTTTACTTTCTTTGTAGCCAGTATTAATTATTCTTTAAAACTCATGTGTTTCAATGCAGTCAGCATATCTGAATCTTACATTTAAGATGAAATATAGCTATCCCTTTTATTTTCTTATTTTTTGTTTTATTTATTTTTTTGGCAGCTGGCCAGTACAGAGATCCAAACCCATGACTTAGGTGTTACTAAGCTGTCCCTTTTATTTATTTATTTATTTATGTGGCCTTGGTGTTATCAGCACCGCACTCTACCGAGTGAGCCACGGGCCGGCCTGTGTTCCCAGTTTTTAGTTTAAGAATTTTATTTTAAAAATTCCTCTTCTCAGGCTGGCCGGTTAGCTCAGTTGGCACAGTGTTATAACACAAAGGTTAAGGGGTCAGATACCTGTACCGGCCAGCTGCAAAAAAAAAAAAAAAAAAATCCTCTTCTTTAGGTATACCTTTTCTTTTTCTTCTTCTTTTTTTTTTTTAGATTTATTTATTTTTAATTGACAAGTATTGACTGTACATATTTACAGGGTACAGAGTTATATTTCAATACATGTATACAATGTGTAATGATCAAATTTAGGGTAATTAGCATTTTCATTATCACAAAAATTTATCATGGGATGAGAACATTTGAACTCCTCTCTTCTAGCCATTTGAGAACATACAATAAATTATTGTTAATTATAGATGCCTACCACTACAGTACACCAACAGAACTTATTTTTCCTGTCTGTCTGTAATTGTGTATCCATTAACCGATCTTTTCTTATTCCAGCCTATTCCCTCCCCTTTCCAGCCTCTAGTAACTACAATTCTACACTCTACTTGTAAAAGCTCAACTTTTTTCTTTTTAGTTCTGACATGAGTGAGGGCATGTAGTATTTTACCTTTCTGTGCCTGGTACAAAGCCCTTTTAATGTCTTTATTTTGGTGATTCTGGGCTTTTATTTTCTTTTTCATGAAAGAGTAATCCGCAGTTATTTATTATTTTTTAGGCTGTCATCAGAAAGAATGAAAACCAGCTTTTCAGAGTGTTCAGCAGTAATATCTGCCTTTTTTGAATGCTTACGTTTTATAATGCAGCAAAATTTAGGTGAAAAAGAGATTGAACAGATGCTCGTCAATGATCAGGTATTTAGTATTTATAATGTAAATATCATCAGTGTCTTTGCATACTGACTATAAAGAATCAAGCTCATTGTATCTTGTTGCCATTTTCAGTAGTCTTCCTTATAAAAACTGCATTTTTGTAATTTAGAAATTGAGTTATGTGTATTCATGACCAGATAAGTAAAAATTCCATACTGTCAGTTGCTACTGTAATGTCATAATGCTTGAGGACTAGTCAGTCTCTAGTGTTTTAGAGAGATGCAGTGCAAAACAGAATTTGAAGATGCTATGTGTGATCTCTTGTATTAAGTTTAAATTATGCAATAATCATCTCGTTACTTCTGAAATACTGGAATGCATTTATCTTTTTGTGAATAATTGGGCTTGGCTTTTAGAACCAGTGATAAGAGCAGGTTCTGGAATATGGTTCCTTATGGTAGGAAGTTAATGAGATTATAGAAACCCAGATCCTAGTTGATGTCTCAGATAGTTAACTTCTTCATCTTCCCTTTGTAATTTAAGAAAAAGGGTTCTGAATTCTGTGGGTTCTAGTTGTCTTTCATGTCGGCTTGTAGTCTCATAATAAATTAGATTTGCCTATAAATAAGGCAGAAAAGCAAAACACTTGAATAAGTCCAGAGGATGAAAAAAACCACAGAAGGGCCGGCCCGGTGGCGCACTGCTACAGTGCGCCACTTGGGAGTGCGGCAACGCTCCCGCCGAGGGTTCGGATCCCACATACAGACTGGCCGCTCACTGGCTGAGCGAGGTGCGGGCGCAACACCGAGGGTTGCGATCCGTTGCTGGTCACGAAAAAAGACAAAAAGGAAAAAAAAAAAAACAAACCACAGAATTATTTGTTAATTACCAAGAATCTTGCTCACTTATATAATAAAAAAGAAGGAATTTGTGTGGAGCATGATGAAATTATTAAGCTCTTTGTATGATATGAAAATGATCTTCAAGTTAATTTTTTCTGGGCTCTGGGGGAAAATTCATGTATTTCAATTAGCAAAAATGAAATTTCATAGTGGTTTACAGCTACCTTGTTTAAATTTTATTTCTTTCGAAAACTGAACTTTTGTATTTTTTACCTTCTCTTTCAGTTGATTCCTTTTATTGATGCAGTTCTCAAAGACCCAGTATTAGAACATGAGCAGTTATTTAACCATTTAGCAGAAACTTTAAGTTCCTGGGAAACCAAAGCAGACACGGAAAAAGATGATAAAATGGCTTACAACTTGGAGAACGTACTGCTAAATTTCTGGGAAAGACTGTCAGATATCTGTGTCAAGAAAATCAATGAGCCAGAAGCTGATGTTCAGTCCATTTTGGGTGTGTCTCACCTTTTACAGATCCTTCAGAAGCCAAAGAGCTCATTGAAGTCAAACAAAAAAAAAATTGGTAAGGTTAGATTTGCTGATGAGATACCTGAAAGTAACAAAGAGAATGAAAAATATGTATCTTCAGAAGGAGAGAACAGTGAAGGTTCTGAATTGACTGAACTTTTTCTTACTCATAATTCTTCAGACCTTTTGTCTCCTCTAAGGAAAAAACCTTTAGAAGACTTAGTCTGTAAACTTGCTGAGATGAGTATTAATTATGTCAATGAACAAAAGTCAGAGCAACATCTAAGGTTTCTTTCTACACTGCTCAACTCCTTCTCTTCAAGTCAGGTATTTAAAATGCTCCTTGGTGATGAAAAACAGAGTATTGTCAAAGCCAAACCTCTCAAAATAGCCAAACTTATACAAAAAAATTCTGCGGTGCGGTTTTTATACCAGAAACTAATAGGTTGGCTAAATGAAGATCAAAGGAAGGATGCTGGTGACCTGGTGGACATTTTGTACAGTGCCCTCTGTTGCTGTGACAATGATATGGAAAGAAAAGATGTCTTGGATGATCTGACTGAGGTATTATTGTTGTATATCTTTTTAAACTAATTTAATAATAGATGAGTAGAATTAGCCTTCATGGGAGATAGTTTTAGATTATTTCTTGACTATTAATTGATGTCAACTTAAAGATAAGCAGTATACTCTTGATTGTGATTTGGGAAGTATCTGATGCTGCTGGGTAGATGTTCAGCAGTACCATGACGACAAAAGCATGGTAATAAAAGGGTGAATTGGGCCGGCCCCGTGGCTCACTTGGGAGAGTGTGGCACTGGTAGTGCCGAGGCCGGGGGTTCAGGTCCTATATAGGGATGGCTGGTGAGCTCACTGGCTGAGACCACACCGTGGCGCAGACCACACCGTGCCAAGGGTTGCAATCCCCTTACTGGTCAAAGAAAAAAAGAAAAAAAACCAAAAGGGTGAATTTTTTCACTCTGTGCTTTTTAAAGTTGGACTAGCTAAGAAAGTTTTAATTTGTTATTGGTTACATAGAGGAGGACTTCATTTAATTTTTTTTTTTTTTTCCTTTTTGTCTTTTTTTTTTTACTGACCGGTAACAGGATCGCAACCCTCGGTGTCGCGCCTGCACCGCGCTCAGCCAGTGAGCGGGAACTGGTCTCCACATGGGATCCGAACCCTCAGTGAGAGCGCCACCACGCTCCCAAGTGGCGCACTCTCCAGTGCGCCACCGGGCCGGCCCAGACTTCATTTAATTTTTAAAAATTTTGCTGTTCATTCTAGCCCATTGTTTCTAACTTTTTTTCTTCTTTTAGGTGGACCTGACGTGGAATTCTCTTCTTCAGATAATTGAAAAGGTATCCCAGAAATTTTTATTTCCTTTTCTTCTTTTTTATTTATGGGTACAGAAAAATTAAAACCATAAACATTCACACACTGAATATGGAAAGGTAGTCAGGTGTCTTTGTTAGAGAACTTCCTTATTATAGTAACGTCCCATATTTGGGGACATTTGATCTTTGTTTCTTGATAGTATTAACTTTCAGTTAGGAATATCAGGGAAGAATGAATAGGCTCTGGAAAAATCTAGTGTTTCTTCCCTAGCAGGTAAAAAAGATAGAGTTTTATTATCTTTTAGTTAAAGCTACCAGTTTCTGCTCTTATCCTTGTTACTTTTTCTTTCATAAGAATGGATTGTGTGGTTCTAGCTTTAGCTAGGGCACATCAGGAAATTAAGTTTTCTCTACTCTGGAATAGTACAGACAAATTAAAATCTTCTAGTCTTTGTATGATTGCTATTTGACTTAATTAGAAAACTAGTTATAAGAATAATGAAAGGAAATCAAAGAACATAAACCGTTTATTTTTAAAATAGCTTAACTATTCTTTCCTAATGAAGATATAAATTTTATAAGATGTAAATAATATAACACTTTTCCAACTATAGAAATGTTATGACTAGCGGCCTAAAATTCTTCCTCTTTTTTCAAAGCATTTTTGATTTTCTATTTTATGTATTTCTCTTTTGAATTTACAAGTTTTTTTTTCTATTTTTTAAATTGTATTAAAAACACATAACATGAAATTTAGCATCTAAACTATTTCTAAATGTGCAATTCAGTAGTGTTAAGTGTATTCATATTGTTATGCAACTGTGTCCAGAACTTTTTCATCCTGCAAAACTGCAACTGTATCCATTAAACAATAACTTCCCATTTTCCCCAATAGTTTATTTTTATAAAGTAAATACAGAGTATTAGTTTATTATTTTTCAATTAGAAAAATAACTTATCAGGCACACCATTTGCATTAGTGCATCCAGTGCCTTCTCTCCCTGTAGACAAACTACACGAAAAGCCAGATTGTCAGGAAGCTGCTTGATAAGCCTAGAATCAGAGTAGGGGGAGTTAATAACTTGATAAGACTAGGCTGATATATTCATTTCCAACTTAGGAATGTAGCTGCCAGGTAGTTTAGGTCCTTGCATCTGTTGGAAAGAGTATCTGATTTTCTTCCTGGGCAGTGTTTTGGAAGGTTCTAGCCAGTATTTGCCTCCTGTGCTTCCATGAGTCACTAGCCTCCCCATCTCCTTATAGCTGCACAGATTCTTTTAATACACTGAGAAGTTGAACTTCAGGTCTTGCTAACTTGAGGGACCTTTTATTCAGAAATTTATTTTTTCTACCAGGAATATTATAGAATAGATAGGTTTTAGTTTTGATAAACTACATAGGAAAGTCAGTATTATAGCCATCTAAACTCTAAAGTAGTTTTTTGTTTGTTTTGTAGAACCTAATACTTTATAAGCAGAGTCCTAAAGTCAGTTTCTTTAAAAACAAACAAATGAAAAACAAACCTGAATTTTGAAACCAGAAAAGGACCTTAGAGATTCTCTAGGTTAATGTTTTCAGTTTTCAGATTAAGAAATAGGTCCAGGTTGCTTAAGAGATTTATCCAAAGTCATAAGGCTAGTATATTGGTAAAGCTTGGACTAAAATATAAGTTCTGGTTACCTACAATTTTTTAAATAAAAGGACAAACTTTTTTTTAGCCATTACCCAATCCACACTTGGATTTCTTTTTTCCAGATTGCTTTGAAATGAACCAAGTTGCAAAATTCATTTCTTCTCAGCCCTTAAAGCAAAAGAAGCTCTGGGAACACGGATCAGCATGCTTTAAGGGTGGATTTACAAGTTTTTTTTTCCTTGCTTCTCCACCACTTGAAAATAAACAAGTGTCTGTCAGATACCTGGCCCCAGTAACTCTCTTTCAGAGAATTTGGGGGAAATAAATCCCATTGCTCATATTGAAGTAATTTACCATTATTATAAAGTAGTTATTTAATTTGAGTAAAATTAATGAACAAAATTGAATATAGAGCATTTATAAATCCATCTTTACAGTTCATTCATTATTCATTGAACGTATCTGCAGTGTTGATAGCAGGTATCAAAGAAGTTTAAGACAGTCTCTGCTCTCAAGGAACTTATAATCTCATTGGAAAGACAAGACATACACAGATGAAACATTTAAATAATAATACAATCCAGTAAGTGCTTTAGAAATTCAGAGAAAAGCAGTGATCATTGTGGGCTGGAGTGGATGGGGGAGACCTCATACAGCAGGAGGGATTTGTATTGATTTTCAAATAATGGATGGGATTTTGATAAGTAAACAAGAGGGAGAATATTTATAGTTGGGAAGATAATGAGCAAAGCACGTAACTGAACGTTAAGCCAGGCTTAGTGGGGAATAGGAAGATACCAATCTTCCTAGAACTTGAGGAAGAGGAGTGGGGGGTACGGTTGGGGCCACGATGATGAAGGGAGGTAATATGGTACAAGTCATATTTTGGACAGATAAACTTTTTGATCTTCTAATCTTTGCTTTAATTTTATGGTTTTAGGCATGTATCAGTTCAGATAAACTTGCTTTAGTAATTCCTTGGCTAAGAGGTGATATCCTTGGAGACAAACTGGTAAACTTGGCAGATTGTCTTTGTAATAAGGACTTCAAATCCACAGTAAATTCAGAATCTTACTTCTCAGAAAGATGGACTCTTCTAAGCTTGGTATTATCCCAACATGTTAAAAATGGTAGGAAAAATATGGCTTTTGTTTTCTAGTAGGGGAAAATCCTTTTCATCTTTGGGGGGGATTAGTTTGCATGTTATTGGTTGAGAAGGACAAGACTTAACTCATTCAAATATCTTAATTTTGTAAGCACTCTAAATACTTGTTATTCTTTATAGCATGACTTGGAAGATATTTAATATTTTTAGTTTCATATTCTAAAGGGTTTTGAATGTAGCAAAGCTGCTTGCTCTAATTTTGTAGACCATAGCTATTTTTTACTTAATTTAAAACTGCTTTTTTACCTGTGTAAGAGAACAGATTGGTTTGTTGATATAATTTTGTCTAATACATAAACACTTTTTTAAAAAACCCATGGAAAGACCATGTGGTTATCAACCCAGAGTTAGCTATTTAAAAATATACTGTTAATATTTTTTATTTTTATCTGTTCAAACTCTTTTCCTCTAGATTACTTAATTGGAGAAGTATATGTTGAAAGAATCATTATTAAACTTCATGAAAGTTTATCTAAAACAAAGAAATTGTCAGAAGCTGAAAATAGTGATTCATCAGTGTCTAATATATGTGATGTGGCCTATAAGTATTTCAGCTCAGCGAAAGGATGCTTGTTAATGCCATCATCTGAAGATTTATTATTAACCCTCTTTCAGTTATGTGCTGAGAGTAAAGAAAAAACACATTTGCCAGGTAATAGCCTACTGCTTAAATGTTTTGTTGGGAATCTCTGGCTCTGACCGTCATAGTTAGTGTAAGTGCCCAGGCTTTATTAATTGAATCATAATGTATTGGAAAGTTTAAAGCATTTCGAGTGAAGGGCTGCAATCTTATATGCTTTCAGTTTTAGGAACCAAATTAAATATGTATGTAGATGTTTTGTGTAAAGTTCTTACTTGATACTAAGGAAATTTGGAAGGGCCCATAATAAATGAGTTGGAATCTTAGTAGCTCTGCCAAGTTGTTTAATTTCTTGATGTCTCAGTTTCTTTATTCATAAATGGGGATGATGATATCTTATCTCATTACTATAGTAAAACATCCAGTCTTGTATATCAACATGAAATCGAGATTATCTTTTTAAGGACTTTTTTCTTGCCTGTATGTTAATTCAGACTTATTTATGAAAGGAACATAAAATCATACTATTAATAGAGAGCTCCCCTCTCCCAACCCTTTTTTAAGTACTACCTTCTCATTTGGAAAGGGTGTAATAATTTTTTTTCACATCTCCAAAAGGACAACTCTCACAAATAATTTCAGAGCAGAAAAAAGCTAGCTATTAAAATCTTAATTTTTACATTTATATGGCATGAGCTAGCTTGTATTATTGCATGTTTATGACACAGTTACTTTGTTTTGGCAATTGAATCTTAATTTTGTGTTTTCTTTTTTAAATGGCATCTAAAAAAATCTCAGATTTTTCTTTCATTTTTCTACTGATTAGAGTTAATTCAGTAAGATTACAAATTCCTCTTCACATCTTTGATTTTAGATTTTCTTATCTGTAAGCTGAAAAATACTTTGCTGTCTGGTGTAAATGTATTGGTTCATCGAACTGGCAGTACATACAAACAGAGTACCTTCCTACGTCTATCTGCTCTGTGGCTGAAGAACCAAGTTCAGTCTTCACCTTTGGATATCAAAAGGTAAATTTTTTTTGTGCTCAGTTGCAGTGTCTCTTTTATACGTGATCATTATCCTTAAATAAGATTCTATGATTAGTGTGAGTGCCTATGAAAAATGACTTGTTATATAAGAAATCTACAGGGCTCTAAGAGAAGATCCAAACAAATTTTTCCAATAGCATTTTGTTTTAATATTTATACATTAAACTGTCAATTAATCGAAGAATGGTTTGTTATATCTGCTGGACCCTTCATTTGTAGCCAGCGATGTGATGGTGGGTACTATCTTGTGTCATAGGCTGCTGTAGGTTGTGACCATAACCTCTCATGGCCACCACACATACTGATTGTTCTTGGTTTATTTTGGGGGGATAGGTAACCACTGTTTTTAGGTACTGAGTTACAAATATATTTTACATCTCATACCTAAATTCTATAAGAAAAATGAAAACCATGCATCTAGAGGCTCTTGGGGTTGGATCAAATAATCATGCTCTTTTTATGGAGTAAGTAGCTTTATTTCAAAAATATCTGATCTGGATTAGGTCAGATAAATTTCATTCTGTGATAGAAGCACTAATTGATTTCAAATCATAAATGTTGGCTTAGATCCCCGATTTGACTGTGTTATGTCCATTGTGGGGGTGGGTGGTCACTTACTGTTTTTATTTTCATATCCTTTGATCAGATAACCTATTGCAGGGTACTTAATATGTACTTGAGTTTTCAGACTAGTCATAGCATAACTACAACACTTAAATTCTTTGCATTATTTTCAGTCTTCAGGTCCTCTTGTCTGCTGTTGAAGATTTGCTAAATAAGTTTCTGGAGAGTGAAGATACTTATCTTCTGGGAATTTATATTGGAGGTGTAATGCCAAACAACAGTGAATGGGAAAAGATGAGACAGTCTCTCCCTATGCAGGTATTTTTGAGATTGGAGAGTGTACGACTCTGAAGTTTGTATTTCATGCAAGCTTGAATTATTTTATTTTATTCTAGGGGAGAAAAATAAATGAGTATCTTGCTTTGCCTTTATGTCTCTGAACGTTCATGTATTAGATGTTTGCTGTTTGCAAGACACCATTTGACAGTGGCAAAGGTGAATAAGACCTAGGTTGGTCCTTAAGGAGTCCTAAAGAAATATACATGCTAATAATTTCCTGTTGTAGAAACCAAACTTCTAGGTTTTTGTGGTTTTACTAATAAAATAGATATTCTGATAACTTCATTTTTGTTCCCTGTCTGAATTGTATAGGTAGTAAATAATTTAAAATGTCTAATGATTTTGTATATAATTTAATGTATTCTTTTCACAGTGGTTACATAGACCTCTTTTAGAGGGAAGATTGAGTTTGAATTATGAATGTTTCAAAACAGATTTTAAGGAGCAAGATACAAAGACACTTCCCAGCCATTTGTGTACTTCAGCATTATTGAGCAAAATGGTTTTAGTTGCACTGAAAAAGGAAATAGTCTTAGAAAATAATGAGCTTCAGGAAATAAGTAAGTATATATGAGCATTTGGATATAATATATCAGTAAATAGAATTTTAAAATGATTTTGATTACACTACAATTTAAATCTTTAGTTCATCAAGAATCTTTAGCTTCCTACTAATTATTTTAGTGATGGGAAACTTGCGGTTACTTAAGCGATGAATGTTAAATTGCAAATAGGATGGAAACATACTGAAATCTTGCTATAATCTCATCAGCTGTAAAGCATAATTTGGTATAAGATCAGTTACTCAAGCTGGCATGACATCAGTATAAGCAGATCCTATGGCATATACACTAAAGAAAATGGGTAAGTGAAGCTTTGGTGTTTTATCAAGGATTCTGGATTTTCTGCTGAGTTTTGAACCTCTATACCTTCATATTCATTGGGCTGTAATTTTTTTTCCTGGCAAGTGGAGGTTGAAATGTTGAATCCCAAGAGGATTTAGGACCTCAGCAAGTTTCCTCATTTCAGAAACTGGCTTAGAATTGTAAGTAGTGGTGTGACTTGTACAAGATGGTAGTAAAGGTATAGAATTTGAATAAATCCCATGTTAATCTTGTTTGTAAGCCGTCAGCTGTAACACAGTTACTGGTAGGGGAGAATATATGCTCTGCGGAAGAAAGGTAAAACACTGAAACACCTCTTTTGGTCAGCCAGCTCCACATTCAATTAAGGGTAAGGAAATAAGCCTACAGTTTACATTGCACATAGGGTGAATCCTTCCAAACACAATATTGGATATGGGAGCAATAATTTTTATATTAATTTATTTTTGTTCATTGTGTTACTAATTACAAATGGGCAATGTTATTTATTTAATCTTCCTATCAACCCTATTAGTCAGATATTATTGTTGTTGTTTTCATTATCTTGACATGATTAGAGTTACTTTGCTCGTAGGATTAGATTTTGAACTAGGTCTCAAGGCTTCTGACTCCAAAGTTCATTCATGGCTTATAAAAGGATGTTGCGACTATTTATGTATTAGAAGCCTACAATATGACAGGTTTTGTGATAGACACTTGGTCATTTAATTCTCACAATAGTCCTGTGAAGTAGGTTGTAATATCCTAATTGATTACTATGTATACAGCTCAAGATCGACATAGATTTGAGTTTAGACCAGTTTGTCACTGAGGCCTGTGCCCTTTTTACTGTGTCATTCTGTCTCCCATTTCTTACCACATTGGCATGCACTTCTCATCTCAGGTCTTGGGTCCATTAGTTTTTTTCCTGAGTGTAACTTTTTACCAATTATGTCTCAATAGTAGGAACACTCTTTCATTATCTCCATTCTTAACTAATCAGAAAAAGAACCAAGTAAGATTTGTGAGAGGGGCGGTATTTTGTATCAGACAGATGTTCTAAGTTTTCAGTATCTTTGAATATCTCAAAGCAGATTTGAAAATCAGTTCATAGATGTTTTGAAATGAGTGGGCACAGTAGTGTTAGAAAATAGGGCAGAGAAGTGAAAATGACCAAAGGGTTTGTTCACAAAGTACATCTGATAATTTGCTGCTGTCTGTTCCTTTAGTTGCAGAACTGCTGTATTCACTGCAGTGGTGTGAAGAATTAGACAATCCACCTATTTTCCTAACTGGATTTTGTGAAATGCTTCAAAAAATGAATATTACGTATGATAACTTACGTGTTCTTGGTAATACTTCTGGCTTTTTGCAGCTGTTATTTAATAGGTAAGAATCCTTTTCACTTTACATTTTTTAAATGACTATTTTACTTTTTATGGCTTTGCCTTCTGTAAGATGTCAGTCCACTTCATGCTAATGTTTCAATCAGAGGGCTTATCTAAATAACCCCTATTCTTAATGATAAACACTTTTGGATACTAAATATTTGATTTAATCTTCTGGGAGAATATATTTGTATTTTGCCTGTCTTATTAAATCCATAATATGTTCAGGGGATAGATGATGATGAAAGAAGTAGAAGCCAATAGAAATTGCTTTATTTGTCTCTGTGGCCCATGCCTCCTACTGCTCTCAAATTTAGCCTTTACCTTACATGTTGTTATAGGTGTGTCTTAATATTATAACCACAATACCCTAGATGAGGAAGGAAGTATGAAAACAGTCCTCGTGAAGGTTATAGCAGTTAGCTTATTGAAATTATTACCTTGAACGGCTTTCTCATTAAGAGTTTATAATTTGCCTGTAGTATTTGGAGCATGTTTTGCAGTATTAGAGGACCTAGGCTTCCTCATCAGTCCTACCTCACAACATTCCTCAGTGGATATTAGTATCTCCTTGATTTTTCAATTTAAACTAGCTTAGGTGTTATCTGGGAGATTTCCTTGTCCCAGCGGCAGCTTTTGGTCTTCAAGCCTAATCTTAAACATCATCTCCCCTATTGGGACTTCAGGGACTTTGGGGTTGCCTTGGAATGAGAGCTCAGTACTCGTTGTGAAGGAATATGGAAAGCCTAAACTCCCAATCCTTTAAGTAATTAATGGCAGTTGCTTGGGTGCAAAGTCCTGTGATGGCCTCACAAGATGATTTATTTAATTTTGTAAAAGGCATGCATGTAGCCATTGTTTAAAAATTTTATTAATTACACTCTCAAACTGGAATATAATTGGTTTTTGGTTTTTGGTTTTTTCTCTTTCCTTTTTTAGATCCAGGGAAAATGGCACACTTTGGTCTCTTATTATTGCTAAGTTGATCCTTTCCCGAAGCATTTCGTCTGATGAAGTAAAACCACATTATAAGAGAAAAGAAGGGTATTCTTATTTCTAATTTTTATCTTGTAATTTTTTGTAATTGGTCACCTTGACAATCCCTAACTAATGAACAATCTCTGATGAATCAAAAAAATGAGGTTTAGGAAGTGAGGAAATTAAAGGAAACAAGAATTGAAGACTTTAAAACAAATTGTTTTAGGTTAGGGACACAATAATTTTTTTTAACTTTATAACCTTTTGTTGTGGAATTTTATACTTTAAACAAATAGCATTTCATAAGCTTGTTTTCCGCAGAAATCTTCCTGGTAGAAATCTTTCTTTTTTCCCTCCTTAACATTCTTCTTCCATCACTTTATTTGCAATGTGAGGATGATAGAGAAAGTTACTTACTGCTCTTAATAAGGATTATCCTATTGAAGTATGTTCTAGAAAAGTAATAAGTGTGTTCTTAAGGGAAAGAAGTCTATTATGGGGTTGGACATGCTAGTGAAACTCAGCTTCAAATTAATACTTTGCTGAGATTTACCAAGAAGCATTTTGAATTTACCAGTTTACTGAGAATAATTCTGAAGTGATATATATATGCTGTGGCACAGCAGAGTTCTACAATAAATATGGATTTTTTTAATCATATTTAAAAATTTTTAAAAACTTTTTATTTTGAGGTAACTGTAGACTCACATGCAATTGTAAGAAATAATACAAAGAATAAAAAATAATAACACATATACCCTTCATCCAGTTTCTTCCAGTGGTACCCTAGTACAAAATCATAACCAAGAAAATGGCATTGATATAATCCATTGAGCAGGCTTACATGTGCATGTGTGTGTTCTATATAGCTCACATGTGACCACCACCACAGTCAAGGTATAGAACAGTTACATCATAAGGATCCCTTGTGTTACCTTTTATTGCCCTAGGCACTTCCCTTCCGTCTCTTAATCCCTGGCAGCCACTAATCTGTTATAATTATGTCATTTAAATCTCTATAATTATGCCATTTAAGAATGTTATGTAAATAAGATAATACAGTATGTAACATTTTGATATTGGCTTATTTATTAACTTACTTAACTTACTTAACTTACTTATTTACTTACGTACTTACTTAACTTACTTACTTATTTAATTTACTTATTTATTTATTTGTTTGTTTATTTTGGTGGCTGGCAGGTACAGAGATCCAAACCTGTGACCTTCGTGTTATAAGGCAGATATTGGCTTTTTTATTCAGCATAATTTAAAAAAATTTTTCTGTTTATAAAAGTAATATGGAATTAACTGAACAACTATTAGAACTAATTATTAATGAGATGAATATATACTTGACATACAATAATTAATAACTTTTTTATTCACCGGTAAGAATCAATTAAAAAATAGTATGGGGAAAAGACGTTTCATTCACAATGACAATAAAACTGTAAATACCCAGAATTAAACTTAAATTTAATTGTAAATTAAATTTACAAATGGGTAAATTGTAAAAATGGTTGTATTGATCTATAATTTTAATGCAATTTCAATCAAAATTTCATGAACAGTTTTGAAAAACTTGATAAACTGTTGTAAACATAGTTTACATTTGAAGGAAAAAGTGCTCAAGAATGGCTAGGAAGTTTTTGAAAGAAAAAAATGAGAGGGACTTACTCTATCAATGATAAAATATACTATTTAGCTATAGTAATTAAGCAATGTGAAATTGGAGAATAGACAAATCAATGAATCTAAATATAGAATTCAGAAATCAATCCACACATAAATGTGAATTTAGTTTTTGATATACATTGCATTTCAAATTACTGAGGTGAGTCTATAATAAATGATAGCAGAAAAATTGGACATGTGTTTGAAAAAAATGAGACCCCTCTTTTACATTATACAGAAAAAGTGTGGATAAAAGCTAAATGTTTAAAAGAATAGATCTATAAAAGTATTAGGAGAAAATAAGAGACTCTGTGCAATCTTGTCATGAGGAAGATCTTTTAAATCAAAGCATGAAAGCCAGATTCCTAAAGGAAAATCTATTTTATTTTGTAAAAAGGAAAACTTTTCGCAACCTAACTGCCCATCAGTGGATGAATGGATAAACAAAAATGTTGAATATACATACAATGGAATAATATGTATTCTTTAAAAAAAAAACAAAACAGTAATTCTAACACATGGTACAATATGGATAAACCTTGAGGACATTGTGCTGAGTGAAATAAGCCAGTCACAAAAAGACAAATTTTTTGTGATTTCTTTTATTTTTATTTATTTATTTATTTATTTTACTCTACAAGGAATTTTATTTTATTTGGTGTCATTCTGGAAATTTTGACAACACAGTTATTTATTAGTTCTATGTTTTTTTTTTTTGCTTTTTTTTTTAAAAAGATGACTGGTAAGGGGATCTTAACCCTTGACTTGGTGTTGTCAGCACCATGCTCACCCAGTGAGAAAACCGGCCATCCCTATATGGGATCCGAACCCGGGGCCTTGGTGTTATCAGCACCGCACTCTCCCGAGTGAGCCACGGGCCGGCCCGTTAGTTCTATGTTGTTAATAAAACAAAAAACAAACCACCTTTGGCAACCATTTTATCCAATTAAATAAAATATTCAAATATTTGTGAATAAGTAAGGAAAATTTTTTTTAAAATTCTTAATGCATTCTAATCTAGTAAACCTCCAGTTTCTGGCCATGCAATGTTTTAAACTAACCTTCCCTTTGCAAAATAATAATAATAATTATGATTCTTTTTTTTTCCTTTCTGTCTTTTTTACTGACTGGTAATGGGATCGCAACCTTCGGTGTCGCGCCCGTACCGGGGACCGGCAACGGGATCGCAACCCTCGGTGTTGCACACGCACCGCGCTCAGCCAGTGAGCGGGAACCGGTCTCCATATGGGATCTGAACCCTCAGCGGGAGCGCCGCCACGCTCCCAAGTGGCGCACTCTCCAGTGCGCCACCGGGCCGGCCAAATTCTGATTCTTTTTAATGAAATGTTTAAAACAAGATTTTATGCTTGCCTGTTTTTTTTTTAAAAAGTCTCGTAGAATATTTTTTAATTTTGATATTTACTTAAAATCTAAAACAGTTACAAGATTGCTCCCAAACATATAGTTTTACATCCAAACTTATAAACTGCATTTATAAAGATATCATTTTAACACTGAAGAGCTCAGTGACTTCAGGCCATTAAGACAGCACCAAATGTTTATGATATCACTGTCAATTCAAAGAAGAGGAGCACATATAATGAGTCTTTGTAAAAAACCTTTCTCCCATGAAAATAGGATTGAAAATGATCATTAGTTTAATATTTAAATTATCATATAATGCCGAGATTACTTGATGAGTCATTCATCAGTTTATAAAACATGGATTAGCCCTTGAAATAAATCAGAATTGATAAGGAAAACCCCAATTTTAATTGATATTTAAAAAATTTGGTGCACATAAAAGAATAAATATAGAGCCTAATAATGGTGTTTATTTATTAGAACTTTAAACCAAATTTTTGGGTCAAAAGACTTATTCTCATGCTAATATCCCTGAATTCCTACCTTAAATGAAAATACATAAACACTTTTTCAACACCCTATATACCAACTGCAGATAGCATTGCCTAATACTATAATATTTTATTTTCCTTTTTAGTTTTTCTTTTTATTTTTAACTCTTCCCTTCTTATTCAGCTTTATGCTGAATTTTATTTTTTTTATTTTTTTATTTTATTTATTTTTATTTTTTATTTTTAAATTTTATTTTGTCGATATACAATGAGGTTGATTATTGTGGCCCATTACCGAAACCCCCCTCCCTCCTCCCTCTCCCCCTTCCCACCCAACAGTGTCCTTTCTGTTTGCTTGTTGTATCAACTTCAAGGAATTGTAGTTGTTAAGTC